GAGGGGAAGAGGTGGCACTGTCCCCTTTTGGGTGTTGGGGGGGGGGGAGGGGCGTGACACCTTGTGACACAGGGACAGCAGAGGCCTCCGGGCTGTCGCAACGCCTGGGACAGTTCCTCCCTGCAAGGACACAGAAATCCTCCAACAGCTGCTGCACTCTGTGCCACCCAGCACCGTGGGGACACCCTGGGGACACCCCGTGCCACAGCCCCCATGCATCCAACTGGGGTGGGCAGCCACCCCCGCCCCAAATTCACCCTGTCTGCAGGTGTCCCCACCTCGAGGACACCTGTGGGACGCTCTGGGGTCACCTATGCATCCCACTGGGTTAAAAAAGCCAACCCCAACCTCACTTCAACCCCGTGCTGTCACCATTCCCTGGTGTCCCTTCTGTGTCCCATTCGAGCTGCGAACCCCGCAGTATTTTCATAATTTCCCCCTTGTTTGGTAGATTTCTGCATGGGCGAAGCCCCTCGGCGGACATGGGGCAGAGTGCATTGGAGCCACAGGAGGAGGCGGAGGTAAGGGACGTCCCCACGAGGTGGCAGCCACCACCCCACGTCCCCAACCCTGCAGCTCAGCCTCTTGTCCCCGCAGGACGCGTCCCTGATGGCCACTTTGTCTGAGCTCTTTACCAAGGAGCAGCTCTCCACCAGCACGGTGAGTCCCCTCCAAGGGCACAGAGTTGTCCCTTAGGGATGATGTCCCTAAGCACGGCTCAGAGGGACGCACACGTGTCCCCACGGTCTGCAAGTTTCAGTTCTCGCTGCTGCCGAGGCAACCGAAGGTGATAAAGTTGCCACCGTAATGCAGGGACACGGCCTGAACCCCGGCGCTGAGTACCCCTAAGGGCACACAAAGTTGTCCTCTCGCCCCAGGGGACACCAGCATGTCACCATGCCATCATGGGCAACGTCCCCAAGCACGGCTAAAGGGGACACCGACTCGTCCCCGTGCTCCAAGGGACGCAAACTTGTCCCCACGCTTTTGGGGGATGCGGTCCTGCTGCTGAGCACCGCTGTGGGGCTACCCCATACCCTGAGGGCCGCTGTCCCTTTACGCCATCGGGGTGGCAGCGCCGTGGGAGGTGACATGGGGACCTCATCTTCCTCTCCAGGTGCTGTGGGCGATGCTCAGCCTCAGCCTCTTCACCATCCTCTTTGCAATTGGCGTCGTGCTGCTGGTCCGGCGGCTGCGCCTTAAGAGTGAGTGACACCGGGGGGGGGGGGGGGGTGACACGGAGACACCTCGGTTTCCCCTGTGGAAGATTGGGTGACAAAGAGGGTGACACATGCGGTGACAGCGCTGTCCCCTCCCCGCTTTCCAGAGGTGCCCGCACAGGAGACGCCCAAATACCGCTTCCGGAAGAGGGACAAGATGCTGTTCTACGGGCGCAAGATCATGCGCAAGGTGACGCCGGGGGTGGCACCTCCCTCGTGGCACCACGGGGTGACGCTCCCCGATGTCACCGCAGCTTGACGTCGCACCTCCCCCCCTCCCCCCCAGGTCTCCCAGTCCACCTCCTCGCTGGTGGACACCACCATTTCCAGCACCTCGCGGCCCCGCATGAAGAAAAAACTCAAAATGCTCAACATTGCCAAAAAGTGAGGATCCCCTGCTTGGTGGCGGTGGCTGCGGTGGCAGAGCCCGGCGTCACCTCGCTGTCCCCTCAGGTTCCTGCGGATCCAGAAGGAGCTGCCCACATTGCAGCTGAAGGAACCCCCTCCCTCGGTGCTGGAAGCTGACCTGACCGAATTCGACGTGGCCAATTCCCACCTCCCCTCCGAGGTGCTTTACATGCTCAAAAACGTCCGGTGAGTCTCACAACCCCCCTGGATTCACGTTCCGCCCCCCCGCCGTCCCCCAACCCTAAAGCTGGTCGTGATCCATCCGCTCAAAGCCTCTTTTTGGGAGCTGGATCACGGATGCTTCGCGCTCTGCCTCCGCTGTTGCTATAGCAACGGGATGCGAGGTGGCATTTTGGTGCGGCGGCCATCAGCGCTGTGTCACCTGCTGTCCCCATCCCCGCAGGGTGCTGGGACACTTTGAGAAGCCGCTGTTTCTGGAGCTCTGCAAGCACATGGTTTTCCAGCAGTGTCAACAAGGGGATTATGTGTTCAGACCCGGGCAGCCCGACACCAGCATCTACGTGCTGCAGGACGGCAAGCTGGAGCTGCTCCTCACCGAGCCGGTGCGGGAACGGAGACAGGATGGGGACACTGTGGGGACAAGGGATGGGATGGGGGCACCACGGAGATGGGGCTGTGAAGAGCAGAAGGATTTGTGCTGTGCAGGATGGGAAGGAGACAGTGATGAAAGAGGTGTTTCCTGGAGACAGCGTGCACAGCCTGCTCAGCATCCTCGATGTCATCACGGTACCGGCGCCTCAGCTGTCCCCAGACCGTCACAGAACTGTCCCCAACAGTTGTGGTGGTCCCTAGGAACGCCTAAAACTGATTGTGGCTGTCCACAAGAATCCTAAGCCTGATCGTGGCCATCCCCAAACCCTTCCAAACCCAACCGTGGCCATCCCCTAACCCAAACATGGCCATCCCCAAACCCAAATCCAACCTTGCCCAAACCCAAACCCAAACATGGCTATCCCCAAACCCTTCCAAACCCAACCGTGGCCATCCCCAAACCCAAATCCAACCTTGGCCGTCCCCACACCCTTTCAAACCCAACCATGGCCATCTGTAAACCCTTCCAAACCCAACCATGGCCATCCCCTAACCCAAACATGGCCATCCCCAAACCCTTCCAAACCCAACCAAGGCCCTCTCCTAACCCATACCCACCCATG